TCACAAGATGGAGGAATAGAAAGCAGTATTCAATGTTTACTTCAGATTAGCTCCACGTCAGAAATGATCATGCTTGTCATATGTCTATCCAACACAGTCTCACGGCATTTCGTGTTATAGTCACGAAATTAATCTATTGATTCGTGTTCACCAACACGATTTCGCCATTTTTTTCGTGTCACACAGAACGATTTTAAAAGCAATGTAAATAATAACAAATTAGAAGGAAAAATATATTTAAAAAAATACAGATTTAAGTATTCTGACACAGAACGATTTTAGAAGCAATGTATTTATATTGGTAGTATGTTTCATGCCTGCACCAAATAATAACAAATTAGAAGGAAAAAAAGATGACATAAAATACAGATGTCAGTATTCTGAGGCTCTGAGCCATTTCTTTTCCTCACTGACGGCAAAAAAACTCAACATTATACAATTTCAAATAAAAGGGATAGGGTTAGGCTTAGGGTAAGATATTGAGTAAGAAAATGTTTTTATGAACCACACAGCTTCTGGTCTTCCAAGACCCGACCGGACAAAAAGACGTGGTGCCGGCACGAAACATACTACCAATAGAAATACATTGCATTTAAAATCGTTCTGTGTGACACGAAAAAAATGTGAAAATCGTGTTGGTGAACACGAATCAATAGATTAAATTAATTTCGTGACTAATAACACGAAATGCCGTGAGACTGGGTTGGTCTATCTCCATAGAGGCTGAATCATCATGTTAATCACATAGCTATCATATGCCTAAAACAGTCCTGATGCTCTTCTAGGTAATCATACATCCTGTCATGTACACAGCTACTTTACGTTTAGCATTAGCCTTGCTCTCTAATTTAATGCAGAATCTGCAGAGGTGAAACAACATTATCTAGCTAACTACTGTAGCTAGCCAGGCTAGGAAAGCAAAACAGTGTCAATATCCCACTTCTTACAAACTACTATCACTGTTTCTGTTTCTCTGTTGTATTCTTCAGGCTCAGGGCAGTTGTATCATCACTTTGAGCAATACATTAAAGGTCCCTTATTATAGCCTACTGTTTTTCATCAATATGTTATAGGTCTCAGATATATACAGAACATGTCTCTGATTGGCTGAAACACCAAACAGATCATTGCAGCATCCTATAATCCCCTCTGTTTCAGCCCTGTTTCAAAAGTGCTGATTCTCTGTCTGTTACTTTAGATGAAAATAAGGAGCCCCTCCCCACGCCCCTCTGAGAGAGATTTGGTTAAAAAGACACAATGGTGCTCTAGGAGGAGATTCAAGTGATAAGGTGGGGGGGGGGGGGGGGGTTACCTTGGTTGCTGATTGGCTAATGGTTACACAAGCAAAAAAAATCGGTATGACATCATAAAGTAGCTAAAAATCTGATCAGCTCATTTTCAGACAGGTTTTTATATAAATGGATCAGGACAAAAAGAGAGAATCTTTGTTCCTGAAACTTTCAGAGTCTTCTACATCAACACATGTTGATGTAGAAAAGACATGGACAAGTGGATTTTGTATGATAGGTCCCCTTTAAATGTATCATGCTCAAGCTGTGTATGCCTTCAGCAGTTTGGTGTTGATCGCCGCTCTCTTGCCCCCCTGATTGCTTCCCTCTGTGCTCGGCTGTTATCAGGCAGCGTCAGCCTGGTGCTAGTTGGCCCAGATTTACAGTCCTCCTGCCAGAAGGGCTCCAAAACCACAACAGGCATCTGCAGCTACAACACCTACAGAATAAACACTGATTTACAGTATGCAAAGCTGCCCTCAAAGGATATTCTAAGTGTTAATTATACTCGGAACAGAAATGCATGCCTTGTTATAGCTTTTCGGTACATTTTGCTTTTGTTTTCAGAATCAGAATTGACACGTACGAGGAGTTTGACTTGATGCCATGGTGCAACACAGATAGAGAACTATTTTTAGAAAACTATAATAACATTAAAAAATGATAAGAGATATAACAGTATTTACATAGGAATAAAATATGGAATAAAATTCGGCAGTAATATAAAAAGAAAACGGATATATTGTGCTTTGTAATTTTCATTGTGCTGCAAGTCTTTGCATGGTACATCTTGTTGTTTGGAGCGTGTGGTTGGTAGACAGAAGGCTGTGACCTGGTTTTGAATTGCTCTTTGAGGTTTATTCGGTTACATTTATTTGGATTTATTTAACGTGTCTTTCAGAAGAAATAACAATTGAATTGGCCCAATATTTCAACCTCGAACAAACGAGTCTGCCATGCGTTTTTCATGTTGAAATGCCATCTAAATGTCAGAATCAGTCACCGTTTATTCTCTAATTAAATACAACTTAAATTAAATGGGCAGCCGAAATGTCATAAACGATTCTGTTCTTTCACTTCTGACTCTATCAAGTCTTGATGAATTGCAGGTTTTTTTCGATTAGGCAGCGTAATGAGTTGTGACGTTATTCCAAACAACACTTTAATAATTCCTTTCTTTTTGTTTTAGTTTATTTGTATAGGCACTTCTCTGGAGGCCTTTGCAGCAGGCCTCCTTAAAGTGTTTAGATGTGCTTGTTAGATTAAGAGAGCCTCATTAAAACATGATTAAACGTCTTTAATACGGAAGTAGGGAATGAGTCCTTACCCCAAGTGAAGGAGTTCAAGTATCTCGGGGTCTTGTTCTCGAGTGAGGGAACAATGGAGCGTGAGATGAGCCGGAGAGTCGGAGCAGCGGGAGCGGTACTGCAGTCGCTTTACCGTTGTGACGAACAGAGAGCTGAGCCAGAAGGCAAAGCTCTCTGTCTACCGGGCCATTCTCGTTCCTACCCTCACCTCTGGTCATGAAGGATGGGTCATGACCGAAAGAACGAGATCGCGGATACAAGCGGCCGAGATGGGTTTTCTCCGCAGGGTGGCTGGCGTCTCCCTTAGGGATAAGGTGAGAAGTTCAGTCATCAGGGAGGGACTCGGAGTTGAACCGCTCCTCCTTCGCGTCAAAAGGAGCCAGTTGAGGTGGTTCGGGCACCTAGTAAGGATGCCATCTGGGCTCCTCTCTAGGGAGGTGTTCCAGGCACGTCCAGCTGGGAAGAGACCGAGGGGTAGACCTAGGACCAGGTGGAGGGATTATATCTCTTCACTGGCCTGGGAGCGCCTTGGGACCCCCCAGTCAGAGCTGGTTGATGAGGGGAAAGGAACGTTTGGGGCTCTCTGCTGGAGCTGCTACCTCCGCGACCCGACCACGGATAAGTGGGAGAAGATGGATGGATGGATGTCTTTAATACATTTGAGGCTTGTAAAATCGTATTTGCGATAAAGCAGTGAAGAAACCTCTTTGGCTCTCAACCAGTTTCCTGATCACACATCACATCAGCACATGTACTTTCTCCAAACCTTCATACCCTAAAGATTGAGCAGAGAGGAAATGAGAGGTTTAAGGTGTCTGAATTGTCTTATTGTACCTGTTCCCTCGTCAGCTTTAATACCTGACGCTCTGTAGCCTTGAGATATTATCGCTCTACGATGAGTATTGGCTGTGTTGCTTATTACAGGATGACGTTTGTGTTGTGCTCAGAATCTTTATCTAGTCATTTGCTGTAAAAAGGAACACACAGGAGAGGTGTTAGGGCCGGGTTTAAATCATGCGTCAGTGTCCAGAATACCACTCAGCCAATTACTAGTGATAGGAAAATACTATAAACACGTTCAGACAGGAATTTAAAAGCTTCTGTTTTACAAGAATCTTAATGAGACCAAGATGTACGCAGTTCAGACGGCCTATTTGTGGTGTCGACATATTGATTTCGGAGTGTGGGAGTCGTGTGAAAATGCTCAGCTCCGGTGTGAAGTTAGTTTAAAAAAAGAAAAACTCACAATAATGGAGTTTCTGCTTCCTTTTTGAACTTGTTACAGCCCAACAAAGAACAGATGTGATTACTGGATCGTTATATCCTCCAGTCCTGAAGATGTGAAGAGAGAGTGGAAATTATGATTACATGCAGCAGGTACAGAAGATTATAGAAGAGTCTTACAGCTGAGGAACTCACCTTTTTGAAATTGAAACCAAAATGTATTTTTCGCAATTCTCCAAATCCCTGATTCGATTTGAATTTACATTTTAAGGTCTCAAATTAATTAAACACAAATTCCATATGTCACTTAAGTTTCTAAATAAGCATAATAAAAACAAACCAAGTAGTTTTGTTTAAAGGAGTAGTTTAAATCTGTAGTGTGATTTTTGTGCATGTTAATGGTCTGCAAAGGCTAAAATCCCTGTGTTCCCTCCATTGGACTCCTTTGTTTAACATCACTTTGTAACACTCACGCTTCTATTGGCTAGTGCTCCAACACATTGTACGTGATAGGCTAAGAGGCGGGACATCTCTAAGCTGTTGACCAATCACAACAGAGCCGGCCAGCTAACCAATCAGAGCAGACTGGGCTCTGGTTTCAGACAGAGGGTGAAAAGAGGTGCTGCAGCACAGGCAGTATTTCTTTGAACATTAAAGCAGGAAACATGTCCCAGTAGAGACACTACATACTGATATACACCTGAACATCATCAGGAGGGGACTCTTTAAAGTAGAGACACTACATACTGATATACACCTGAACATCAGCAGGAGAGGACTCTTTAAAGTAGAGACACTGCATACTGATATACACCTGAACATCAGCTGGAGAGGACTCTTTAAAGTAGAGACACTACATACTGATATACACCTGAACATCAGCAGGAGAGGACTCTTTAAAGTAGAGACACTACATACTGATATACACCTGAACATCAGCAGGAGAGGACTCTTTAAAGTAGAGACACTACATACACCTGAAAATGAAGCAAAATATGTCTTTAAGTTATTTGGAATAAGACTTTCACTGTGATGTGTCTAAAAAGTACTTTTCCATCTCCAGGAACAACATAACTTCATGTCTTTTATTCTTTTGTGTTGCCCTAATTGCCCAGCTGGTTGTACTCCTTTGAGCTGCTATAGTTCTTGTACTTATCTCTGTATGTCGTGCGCCTTTCAGACTTTGACTGGAGCTCCTTCTGGCTGTGGAGTCGCTTCCTGGACTACATGCAGTGCGTGCTGTCCTTCACGCTGATGGCCGCCTACGCCACTTACCTCTTCCTGGACTCGATGCTTTTCGTGGAGACCCTCGGTTTCCTGGCAGTTTTCACCGAGGCGATGCTGGGAACCCCGCAGCTCTACTGCAACTACCAGAACAAATCCACAGAGGGCATGAGGTATGTTTTAATAATAATAATAATAATAATAATAATAATACTGCAGTGTCCGCACACTGAAAGTCCTGCATGAAGTGAAAATGAACTACTCATGTTTGAAGAAACAAAAAACAATGTAACAGCATGAACCACCATGTCTTCATGACTGTCATTTCTTTGTCCTCAGCCTTGAGTATAATTTACAATCAGTCAGTTGACAATCAAAACAAAGCTTGTTGCATCCTCGATTAATGATAGTGTTTTTATCCTGATGAGCGCTGTTTTATTTATGAGAGCCACTTCCATCACAAGCAGCGCTCACTCGTAAGTAAAGGCTGCAGATGATATTGTCTTACATACGATCATTAACACTGACACATGCTTATTAAGTATTTCTGGCACCTGTCGAACAGGAAATAAAGCCGGGCTCCTGACAACTAATTATTATGCTGAGATGACATTTAACCCTCTGAAGTTTCTCTGAAAATCAATATGCTAATGAGGTATTCTGTCTTACAGCTAATGTGTCATTTGGGCTCATTAAGGTTGATCTGCATCACGTCACGTCTCAGGCTGTAATTAGAGGCATTGACGTAATATAGATTTTTCTTTATCCTATACAGGTTGAAAATATTTACCACTAGGCTTTTAAGCTGGAGACAAGCCCACAGAAAATATTTTTTAATTAGTCTATGCAGCTATAAGTGTGTAGTACTTTCTTTTGACACAATATTTTTAATTACATTTTTCAATAACATTATATTTAAATGTTATACATACATCACAACACAGAGGTGCTGTATTCAAAAGACACATAAACAAACAAATGAAACTTTGATAATAAAAAATAACATGCTTTATCTGTACAACCACTGTTAATATAATAAACAGTTAAATATCTTAATTGTCAAATATTGTCAAAACTTTAATATAACTTTATTAATGCCGCAGAAAACGTTTGGGGGTGCAATACAATCCGTCTTACTTCATCACAATACATTTTAATTTCTCTACCCTGCCGTAAACAGTGAAATAACGTTCCTCTGGTGTCATTGTGAGTGTGTTTAAAAACAGTCAATGAAAAGCAATGAATGACTTGACAAAGAACAGATTTCAAGCAGATAAGAAATGTGACAAAGAGGAACGTCTTAAGGCCCTGACACACCAAGCCGATTTCGGCCGTCGATAGATGTCTGGCCGTCGATGAGCGTCCTGTCGCCCTACTCAGATTGGTGTGTCCCGCACCGTCGTGTCTTTTCAGCCGTGCCGACACCTTCCGCCGCCGATTCAACATATTGAATCTGGAGGCTGTCGGCGAAAGAAATCACTCTGATTGGCTGTTCAGCTTAGCGAATCAGTGCATGAGAAGCGAAACGGAAGTGAAGAAGGCACACACAGACGGCTATTATTTTTCATTTTCCAGTACCGCACATGTTTTCAATTATAAGTCGTTATGTGAAACAGTCTGTGATGGACGAGAGTGAAAATAGAACGCACGCTATTTGTTGTTTGTTTATATCACGCAGTCTGTCTTCCGGTTGTTGCCTCTTTTGATTGACGAATACACACTACCGCCGCCTGCTGGTAAGGAGAGTTATTGCCACTCACGCATGCGCAGTGCGTACGTGCTACTGGGCCGTTGGCTGAAGTCTTTGCGGTGTGTTCCAGTGTGACTGTTGGCCAAGACGCAGGAGACGTGAGGCGACACATCAGTCGGGTCCGTCGGGACGTGTTCTTTGGTGTCAGATTGGTGTGTCAGGGCCTTTAAAAGGAATTGAAATGGTGAATCTATGTCAAAAGACTTGCAATGTAACACACTGATAAGAAACCCCCCAGTTGCTTTCTGCAGCAGAAAGATAACAAAACTCCAGCAGGGCTTCATGTCAACTTAACCGGCCATGACAGCACCCTCTCTGTCCCATATTTATTTTTGTGTGTTTGTTTGTACTTCCTACCCTCTGTCTGCCACCCTCATTGTTCACGGAGCTTGTGACTACCCGATTTGCGAGTTGGTCTGCCGTAAACGTATAAACTATATCTTTCAAAAGTGTGTTGGTTTATGATCACATTTGTATATGATAATGTATGAAGTCAACAAAAATAATCTTAGTTATCAGCAGAGATGGCAAAGGTACACACATCCTTTACTCAAGTAGAAGTACAGATACTGGTGTTTAAAAGTACTCTGGTAAAAGTAGAAGTACTGACTAAACTTCTTTTCTCAAGTAAAACTAAAGAGGCTTTGAAATGTACTTAAAGGGGACCTATCATGCAAAATGCACTTTTGTACGTCTTTTCTACATGAATATGTGTCCCCGGTGTTCCAGGGAACTCACCAAGTGTCAGAAAACACAACCCTCTCTATTTTCCTCCATACCCAAATCTCTAAAAAAGGGGCTGCAACGGATCTGATACAAACTGATCCAGATTTGAACACTGTCCTGACGTCAGGACGGTGGCGCTACGGCTATTGGGCCAACTCCACCAATCAGGAGGAGACAGCCACGGCCATTGCCGTTCGAAAGCGCTGGAGACGCTGTAGTACATATGCCAGGCCTGTAGATGGTGCTGTTCTCACAGAATCAGCCCTTGCAAAAACAGAGCTAAACATTTTCAAATTGAGCGAAATGAGGCATGGCTAAAATGCATGATCTGTTTGGTATTTTGAAAAAAAAAAAGTATAAATATGCCTTATATAGGTATGGTCCTACACTATATTATTCAAATATAGCATGATAGGTCCACTTTAAGTAAAAAGTACCCATAACTAGCAGCTGTTTTAAAGAGTACCTGACCTCCCTTTATATTAATAGAACAATAATGTCATTGTTAGCTAATGAATGTTTCCATGCTGAACAACGGCAACATGACAACGTTTTCATTGGTCCCTCTTCTTTAGAGAAGACCAGAGGCCTGTACTACGAAGCTGGTTCAACCTAACCTGGATATGTTTGAGTTAGCCGGTTGGCCCAATCCAAAACATACGCGCTCTCGCTAAACTGTACTACGACGCTGGTTATCAAGTGGATCGCTCAAGCCAGCCGTGTCCTATCTAGTTAGGTGCGCGTTCACATGAAAGGGGTGGTATTTGGAGCATTCGACCAATCTCAAACACGGACAAGCGTACTGACAGCGCAGCGTCATACTTCCTGAATGAAAAGTGAACTTTAATATTAGTCAAATATGAAGAAGTTCAACTTTAAACATCCATGACTTAAACACTTTATCCAGGATAAAAGCCACATAGCTGCACCTGCAAGGTGAATACAGCTGGTAAAAGAAAAAGTGTTTGAATGCGTACATTAACAGGTTTATGATATCACTGCCCCGTCCAAGACACGAGTGGATCTGACTTTAATTACATTTGACTCGAGTGTTTCGTCAACTTAATGTGTTGCTTAAAATAATACTTCTGCATACAGTATGTGACACTGTGAGTGTTGCACGGCCCAGATACGGCTCAGCTGACTCAGATAAGGAAATATATGATACATTATGATGTGATATGATATGAATGATAATGGGACACATCTACGTCTGCACTCACAGTGCCGCGGACTGTACGTAATGTTACTCTGATCCGGTTACTTATGTCGTGGCAGATATTTAAGTAAGCTTTCTTAACGCTAATATTATAATAGTTTGATTGCTCTGAAGATGGGAGGTGATATTCTATTAATTTTCACGTTCACACAGTCAGTTGATTTTGGCCGGCCGTCTTTCCTGCAACGGCAGTTTTTCTGTATTTCCTCTATCCTGTAATATGAATTGATCGCTTTAAACTCCGCACACGGAGCTCTGATTGGTCAGCAGGCGGTGCTTTCACTGAGTTGATCTCTTAGCCTGCAACCTAACCTGCTCCGGAGCAGGTTTGCCGCTCAGCATAAGTTACCATGGAAATCTAGCCTGCTAAAAAGAGAACCAGCGTCGTAGGACCGGAAAGCCCGAGATTTCCCTGAAGTTAGCCGGCTAAGCGAAAATCCAGCTTCGTAGTACAGGCCTCTGGAAATGATGGATACACGGATCGTGTTCACATCAATAGGCACGCAATGACTCTAAATAATAATGATCACGCCACCAAACACACATTCAAACTAAAGGAACCAGCCTGTTTGGGAAATGTAAGAAGTGGAAAGTACAGGTATTTGTGTTCAACATGTAAGAAGTAGAAAGTACAGGTATTTGGGTTCAACATGTAAGAAGTAGAAAGTACAGGTATTTGTGTTCAACATGTAAGAAGTAGAAAGTACAGGTATTTGTGTTCAACATGTAAGAAGTGGAAAGTACAGGTATTTGGGTTCAACATGTAAGAAGTAGAAAGTACAGGTATTTGTGTTCAAAATGTAAGAAGTAGAAAGTACAGGTATTTGTGTTCAAAATGTAAGAAGTAGAAAGTACAGGTATTTGTGTTCAAAATGTAAGAAGTCAAAGTAAAAAGTCGTCAGAAAAATAAGTAGTGGAGTAAAGTACTGATACCAGAAACACGTACTTAAAGTGGACCTATCATGCTATATTTGAATAATATAGTGTAGGACCATACCTATATAAGGCATATTTATTAGAGATGGCAAATCCGGATCCTTTACGGACTCAGGGTCTTCTGAGTCAGTCATTGAAGAGATCCGGATCATACGAGTCATTTGAGTCATATGAGTCAGCATGACCAAGACCGTAGAAATCCTATCGGTGAAACCGAAAAGTTGATGCATTTCACGAGCATATTATTATTCCATATATTTTGAATATATATATATATATATAATATCTGCATGTATATTTTCTATTTCGACATGTATATTTTATATTTTATATTTATTTCTATTCTTGTATATTTTGTAGTTTTGTTTTATTGTAAAATGCCTTTTATGCTGCTGTAACAACAACAATTTCCCAATTTGGGATCAATAAAGTACTATCTATCTATCTATCTATTAAACTGACGTTATATTAACCTCCGCTACACAGTGTATTTTGCTTTAATAAAAAATGTTGATCACAAAAAAAAGGGTTATTTTGCGATT